TACTGATATACTGATTTGCTATATTAATAATTCATTTTTCAAATCAAAACATTTATTAATGTAAAGATTTATGATGATATATTGTTTACTTATTTTTGTTGTCATGATTGTACTGCAGTATATAAACCTTTTGTTCATTTTAGTTTATTGATGAAAAGACCTTTCTGATCTGACAAAATATGTACAGTTGTTCTGCAAATTTGTGTTTCCTGCTGGTAGAAGTTTTCACTCTTGTTGATGAGTTTTATTGCTTACCAAATCATTATGCAATTATTAGATTTAGTGGGTGTTTTGGTGAAATAATAAGTAACATGATTTTATTTTCTTGGTCAGATGTTATTACTTTCAAGAAAATTGCTTGTTATTACTGTACAAAATAAGAAAAATTAAAGCTAGAAACAAATGCTGTCAATGACTTAAAAAATTATACATGTTGAAATATAAGCATGCTGTATTGCAATATATTTTTATTATATATTGTTGCAGTACATTTTTTTTTCTGGAAATACTGGTACAGTACTCCATGTCCTGCATTGGATGAGGTGCAATAAATGATAGATGCTGTTCAATTAATTAGTCATTATTGACAAGACCATCATAATTGGCACTGGCCGGTTATACTTTGCTCTAAACCTTGATTTCATTATGATTATAATGAATGATGTTGGGTATCAGGTTAGCATTGGACAGTCAAAAAAGGTCACATTGACCAACTTGACAAATATTCCAGAATTATACAAAATATAATATTTTAGCATTTATTTTGTTGTTGACGCAGTCTCTGCATTGTTTGGTGACAGTTATTTAGGAAGATGTTGAAGTCTCAATAAGGTGTGCAGCTGCCAATAAAATGTCAGAAATTAGATGATGAGTGTGATTGAAAATATAATTAAGAGAAGAGAGTAAGAAAGTTTAAGATATGCTGGAAAAAAGCATGCAAAAGACGACTATCTGCACCAGATATTAGGTATTCAGTCTGAAGATCTGATAGCATCAGCTTATGGACCAATGTCATTACCATAATCAAATATTTTATCAGCCAATCAGACAAAGTCTTATATCTTTGCATTGGGAGACTGAGTACTATGGCTGAAGATCATTGTGTTCTGAATGATTCGATTAACATTCAGATTTCTGAAAGCTGCATTTCCATTGGCTAATTAAAAGGTTGCCAGAATATGACCCCTAAATGGTTGCTGTTATATCTTGCAGTGGAGATCTGGTTTTAATCAGATTGTTAGGGATTATAAACAGTGGGATGCCATCAAGCAGCATGCTGCTGGACCAAGCTTTGTTGGTCTAGTTCTGATGATAAATCATATACAGAAAATGGATATGAACAACTTTCAGTGAGTCTTGTTTGTGATATACAATCATTATTGTGTGGAGCTAATGTTAATGAATATAAAATGTTGAATTTGACACTGAACTGGCTTTTGTTTGATTTTAGCAGGGTTCTTTGAAATTTAGACAGGATCCTGTTTTAGTAAAACACCTCAAGCACTGGGGTCATCTTAGGTTACACATGGTACAAGTGCATAGCAGACAGGAGTATTTTTTATAATTGTTTTTTTTTCCTGATGCTTAATAGAAAGGGTTTAATTTGTCACAAAATTTGTATAATCCCTCCTCCCTAGAAGAAGATTGAGTGGTAAGAGATTATTCATTAATGATGGATACCTTAGTTATTGTCATGATGGTCCAGCACAGTGAACCACTAGTGTTTCACCGGTGGTAATTATTCTCCATGTTGTTGGTCTTAACGCCATTTTTCAGCACACGATAGGCTATTCATGGCGGCCAGTATAAATGGTGGAGGAAGAAACCGGAAAATCACCGGAAAGAACCACCGACCCACGAGAAGCTACTGGCAAGCTTTCTCACTTATCCACATTCGAGGAATCCTAGACTCAAACACACTCGAACACACGAAGACAGAGGTGAGATGGCAGTGATCCGTAACAGACAGTGCTTTAGACCACTTGGCCACTAGGGGCCCCCATAATTATTCTCCAAAAGGGACACTTAAAACTCACAAAAAGACACTTTAAAAGTATATACCATTCTCAAAAGGACATCTTTTTTCAGTGTGAATTATTGTTGTTGTTAATATTATTTATTATTAATAACAACAACAATTATGATGAAACGAGATGTCTATATGAGAAAAATACATTCATTTTGGGGTGGTTTATAGTTGACCTGCAAGTGTATGCTCTTCCACATGTAGTTCAGTTACAGTGTACAGGATCTTTTTCTTTATTTTTCATGGAATGGTGTTGATTAACTTTGACCTGTTTTGCAGTATTACCCAAGGTGTATTCTACAATCTGGGCATATACAGTTTATTGCCACTTATAAAAATATTGAAATTGAATACATAATTTACTGTTTACATTGGCAGGAAACAAAAGGGACACTGAGTGGACATGCTGTTTTGAGCAGATGAACAATGACCTCTCTTATCATCATGGTGTTAATTAGTGGACACAGCCTGAGTTTTGATATGGAAGAATTGCAGTTTCTAAAAATAAAAATTAGGCATACAAGTGGCTGATTTTGTTAGTGAAACATAAAATGGGGCATTTTGCAACTGAAAATAAATGGCAAATTGTGGTGGAATGATGGGACTCAGAATATTGTATTTTTCAAACGCTTGTTCCAGGGCTGAGTGAATTGGAATACATGCTCTTCCCACCCATCTCCTTATCAATACCATGCACTTATAAAACTATAAAAAAAGACAGTGTTTGCAGTTTAACACCTAGTCCTTAATTTCTTAATGGCTTTCACCTTTACTAGTATAGTGACTATTCTCAGTAATCCAGGTGCTGTTTAAATGTGGAAAAATATTTGCTTTCAGCTAGTCATGACACACATTTACGAGTTAAGTATGTGGGAAGTTAAAGGTCAGAAAATGTTTTTTTTTTCTTCAGTTTTTGTTTGGTCAAACAGTGTTACACTTGGCCCTGGTCATCCGTGATTTCTAGATGTGTAGTTTTGTCATGCCATTGTGAAGACACGGCATAAGTATGTAATTACTTTTCACATGAAAAATGTTGCAGACTTTCATTTGAAGATCTCCTCAGTTTAGCCATTTTACTAAATACTAATAAATTCATTGCAGTCAAGTCTCCATTTGTACAGCATTATTCAAAGGAGCCTATCAAAGAGAAGATTGCTGATTGACCAAAAGAGCTGGAAGTTTGTCATGAGCCCAATTACAACATATCACATGCCTCAACATACAGGCCAGGCCCTAGGGCAGGTCAAACGAGGCAGCCAACTTGGGCCCCCGAGTTTTTCGAGTTTTTCTTTTTCAGCAATGCAGTCATTTTGCTTGGGGCCCTGTGCTCATTTCTTGCTGCCTTGGGCCCTGCACATCCCAAGGCTGGGCCCGTCAACATGTGCTTTATAAATAGATTTTAATGACATGCATTCAGTGAAAGTTGATGAGAATCCACAAAGACTCTAAAATGCTTCTTCCAGTTGTAAATTTACAACAACTGTCTTGTGAAAAAGTATTACTGGTACCGTAGAAATATCAGTCGATTTCTTTGATACAGTGCCATTTTATCAGTAAAGTAAATACAAGTGAGTTAGGATGAGCATAACACTGTCAGACCAGATGAAAATTCACAAGATTTTGACATTCTGTGGATAGTATCACATTTCAAATTCCCACCTTTCATGATGATCTCTTATAGATCGGCTCATATGATTGACCTTTAATGTGTATGATAAATGGAAAATCTTTTGTGATTGCTGTAATAGAAAATGTGTCTTTCTTAGCTGCCACTCTTTGAGCAGCATTGCTAATTTTCTTCCATTCCTTTTCGAAAAGAAACAAATCTCTATTTCTACTATGAAGGGCTATAGAGCAGCCCTATCCAATACTCTCACTTAGCAGCCCTATCCAATACTCTCACTTAGTAGACCGGATTTTTGTATTTAGAGCTGCCAAGACCACTGTCTGCAAGAACAAAGGAGCAGTCTTCATTTTCTAGCCATAGTGCAGGACTGTGTCAGGTTCATTGTAAATTACAAGTTGTTTTATCTCTAAATTGTCAACCATAGGAAAGAAAGTTTCCATTGGTTTTCCACTCCCAAGATCACCAGTCTCAGTCATATGTGTTCTGGGGATGATTGAGATAGATGTTTCATATCCATTGAAGGTTTTAAGTTTTTATTTGGCACCCTTTAAAGAAAGAGAAGAAATTGTAGGAAGCATTGTTTCCTTCACATTAGAGGTTCTACTGATATTAAAGCTTCCATTATTTCAAGGCGGATTTTGATTGCTATCAGGAGAGCTTACCTTATTGTTAGGGACCTTTCATTCATGAAAATTCAAGTCTTTGGAGTTCTGGCTACTTCAGCCTCATGGACTTTAATAACACCTTCGTCTTTGGACGATGTGATGAAATTCACGTTTTGGTGTTTGCACATTACTTTCTCCTATATTTTGCTTTTGCCTGATTGTCCACATGCATTTTCCATCCCATAGTAGTCTCCAGCTCTTCAGTGAGGTTGAGTGTTTTGTTTTCTTCATCAGTTGTGGAATCATCAGCCTCCCACCAAACCATTGTGGAATCATCAGCCTCCCACCAAACCATTGTGGAATCATCAGCCTCCCACCAAACCATTGTGGAATCATCAGCCTCCCACCAAACCATTGTTGAATCATCAGCCTCCCACCAAATCATTGTAGAATCATCAGCCTCCAACCAAACCATTGTTGAATCATCAGCCTCCCAACAAACCATTGTAGAACCATCAGCCTCCCAACAAACCATTGTTTAATTATCAGCCTCCCACCAAACCATTTAAATTTAACCATGCAATATTAACATCTGTGTTATTAAAATGATCAGATACTTACCTTTTGCTATTGCCAGATTGACTCCTCCCATCCCGCATTGATGTCACACTGAGTTGGGCCGCATCTTAAAATAAATGAAGGACATTGGGCATTATATTATAGGGAATTAGGAATTAACAAATGGCTCCAGTGGCCTGGTGGTTAGAGTATCTGCCTCTGATGCAGGAGGCTGCAGGTTGCAGATGCAAACCTCTGCAGAGACATACCAATGACTTTTAAAAATGGTACCAGCAGCTGCCTTGCTTGGCACTCAGTAGTAAGAGGTTGTGCTAGGTCTTGTCATTGCATTAAAATGTCTTCATCAAGCATCAGTATTGTAAAAAATTTTTATCAATGCTTTTTAATGCATATGTTGATCGTTAACTTGATTATTGGGGTAGCTGCATTAACCCTACACAATAGCACATTCATGTCTACATTGACCAGTTATCAATTCAGTTTACACATGTTTATGAGTCTGTAGGCCATCATTGTTAAATTCCCCCATTCTCAGTTTCATATGCTGACAGGTTAAGCTTTAACGTTTTTACATTGTTAGACCAGTTTGCACTTAATTGTGTTCCCTTGTTGAATGAAAACCTTTCGAGTTGTCTTTAAATGCATTCCCTTGGTGAATTAAAACCAGTCTGTTCTGTGTGACCTTGAGTTAGTAAGGAGGAATGCAGCTGGAAAATCCACTGCAAAAAAGTATTTTTCATTTACCTTTATCTACATTGCAGAGATTTGAAAATGAATATATGCTTTGTACAAGTAACTGTAACCTACTTTAGAGAAAAATTGGGTCACTATGACCTAGTCTCCAGCACTTGCAATCTGTTTTTACATTAACATATCTGTGTGGTAAAGTTGTGTTTGCCTGCTATTATATTTAACTTTTTGCATGTATCAGCATCATGGAATTGGTCAGTGTTTCTTGCATCATTTTTCCCTTCCCCAAAAGGAATTTTTTCTTCAATATGTAAAAATAAATATATTTTTATAAAAAAAAATCAAATTCCAAATCTTTTGTTTTGTCTGATTTTTTTTACAAAAATCTAATGTGTACCACATTAGCATTTAACAATTAGTATTAATTCATCACCAAATTGCTTTTCACCAGCTTGTCAACTATAAAGTGTGCAGACCATCTTTATACATGCTTGATTATGCCAGGTATATAGTTTCCAGTTCATCATGGAAAAAATAGCACTTTCATTACACCAAAATATCTTTAAACATTACCTGTAGAACAATTTCACAGTCATTAATTATGATTCAACCAGCAAACTTCATTAAGCCATAAATTTAAATTATGATAGATATAAAATGGAACGAATTATTATTGCTTTATAACAAAATCTGATGACAGTCCCTCAGGTATTCTGAAGTGAAACATTAAAAAAAACAATAAACTTGAACATTTGGACTGATCACATCATAAGAAAAAAATGTGTAATAACCTAAAGTAGTTGTATGGCTAGAGAAAATGAATCAATGAAACTGAATATTTATTTGACATGAACACTAATATGTGTTGCTGCATAAAGTATAGACCTTACATCCATTCAACTTTATGACAATAGGATCATGAAATCTTTATAGGTAAGAATTTCATGGTATTGCATATAAGTGATTAATAGGGAATCAATTCTTGTACATTGATTCTTGATCTTTTTCTTTAACATTTGGAATTAAAATTTCAAGTATCATTTATGTAACTTGACTCTTAAAAACAATTACCCAGTGGTGGTCTAATGTTTAGAGTGTCCACCTTGGATGTGGGAGGTCACAAGTTTAAATCCCCAGCCAGGTCATACCAGTGATTTATAAAAGTACTAATAGCTGTCTCACTTGGTGCTCAGCATTAAGAGGATGGTGTTAGGACTGGTCAACCTGGTGTCAGGATAATGTGAATGGGTGGGATGCTACATGTCAGCAGCTTGATGCCCCAGTGATAGATAATGTAATGATATGACAAAAAGTTTTTTTAAAGCTGTGTTCAAATACACACACACACACACACACACACACACACACACACACACACACACACACACACACACACACACACACACACACTGCCTCTTAAAAACTGTTTGGTGCTATCACACTGCCAATCTCCGATATGTTTCATACAGTAAACAATAGTCTGAAGATGACAGGAATGGATGAATTGGGTTTACTTCATTCAGCATGTATCTGTACACCAACATATCTTTAAACAATTACTATGCACTGTAGAATAATAATAATAATAATAATAATAATAATAATAATAATAATAATAATAATAATAATAATAATAATAATAATAAACATCAAGGAAAAGCTAAATTATTCAGTATGTAGATATAATATTTGAACACAAATGAGTTCTGTACAACTGTCTTGAACTACCAAAAGGACTTGGGTTAGAGGTACTTTCCTTTTGAACATTTTGACTTCTGTACATAAATGGCTTTTATGATTGTACAGAAGATGCCAGTGGCTCCAGGTGGTTGAGTGGTCTGAAGCACTTTCCATTACAGATTACTGCCATCTCACCTCTGTCTGCATGGGTTTGAGTCTCATATTCTGCCAGTGTGGGTATGTGAGAAAGCTTACCAGAAGCTTCTTGGGGGGCCCCGAGTGGTCTAAAGCGCTGTCCGTTACGGATCACTGCCATCTCACCTCTGTCTGCGTAGGTTGAGTCTAGGATTCTGCGAATGTGGATATGTGAGAAAGCTTGCCAGTAGCTTCTTGTGGGTCGGTGGTTCTTTCCGGTGATTTCCCGGTTTCTTCCTCCACCATTAATACTGGCCGCCATGAATAGCCTATCGTGTGCTGAAAAATGGCGTTAAGCCCAACAACAACAACAACCAGAAGCTTCTTGTGGGTTGGTGGTTCTTTTTGGGGGTTTTCCTGGGTTCTTCTTCCACTGTTAATACTGCATGCCATGTATAGCCTATCGTGTGCTGAAAAATGGCATTAAGCACAACAACAACAAAAATAGAAAATGCCAGTCTGCCATACAGTATGACTGCCATTGTGAATAACAGAAAAACTTTTAAAAACCTTCTCAAAGCCTGGTGAAGAAAATTTGATTTTAAGCCTCATGGCATGACAAACTTTCAGTTTTGTATAAATGATGTTCTTCTTCAATCAGTTACCAAAAAAAGAAAAATCTTAGCTGACTTTTCTTTTTTTAAAATTCCTTAAAAAAGCTGCTTAAAAGTACTTGACCATGAAACCACATATGGATAAAGAATTTTATATTTTCTGTGCAGATAACTAAGTATAATCCTTTTTGGATGACCAGTCCAGGAGCTCTATACCATAGTTTAGCTTTCTGTGTTACATTGAATGGACAGTTTCAGTGCTTTTTCTATAGAAAATGGTTAAGAAATGTCAGAGTTCATGTCAAGATAGAATAAGCATTCTAATTATGGTGTAAAGAGTTGGGAAAAATATGACATGGGGTCCTTTTCCTGAAGTGCTGAAGAAACACTGAATAACCTAGTCACAGATAATTTAGCTTCAGGTGAGTCCAAACATCAACCTTCATAGCATTGCTTTGAAGATTGTAGATTGCCTAAAATAAGTGGCTATTTGTAGTACTGATTAAACAAAATTAGCTATGCTTGACTAAACTGCTTAAAAAGAGAGAATTGTGATATCCTGTTCATTTGTCTCCATTACACTGCATATTTTCAGAACACAATGAAAGTTTTTTTTTAAAAGGCCAAATTATCTTGTAAAATTAGTAAGAAAGCTTCTGCCCTTAATTATGAGAAAACACTTCCCTGCCAATAATGAAAATAACCTTTTTGTTCCTTTTCTTTTGCTACCTGTCTACTCATCTCAGGCTGTGCTTGTAAAATCTAAACCCCTTGTTGTCATCTTCAGCGCACAGAGATCTATGTTTACCTTCCTTCATTCTGTGTCCCATATAGAGAGATCTCATTTGATCATCTCCTATCATTCTGTGTCCCATATAGTGAGATCTAATATGGTTCTCTCCTATCATTCTGTGTCCCATATAGAGAGATCTAATATGGTTCTCTCCTATCATTCTGTGTCCCATATAGAGAGATCTAATATGGTTCTCTCCTATCATTCTGTGTCCCATATAGAGAGATCTAACTTGATCATCTCCTATCATTCTGTGTCCCATACACAAAGATCTGATATCTTCTCCCATCATTCTATGTCCCATATACAGAGGTCTATAAAGATCACCTCCTGTCCTTCTGTGTCCAATATACAGAAGTCTGATATGATTGCCTCCTGTCATTGTGTCCCATACAGAGATCTAATATGATCACCTCCAGTCATTCTATATCCCATATACAGAGGTCATATATGATCACCTCCCATCATTGTGTCCCATACACAGAGAACTAATATCACCTCATATTCTATGTCTCATATACAGAGGTCTATAATGATTGCCTGTCATTCTGTGTCCCATACACAGAGATCTAATATGATCACCTCCTGTCATTCTATATCCCATATACAGAGGTCTTACATGATCACCTCCAATTGTTTTGTTTCCCATATACAGAGATCTAATATGAACACCTCCCGTAATTCAATATCCCATATACAGAGGTCTTATATGATCACCTCCATCATTTTGTTTCCCATATGCAGAAAACTAATACGATCACCTATGTCATTCTATGTCCCATATACAGAGGTCTATAACAATTGCCTGTCATTCTATGTCCCATATATATATATATATATATATATATATATATATATATATATATATATATATATATATATATATATATATATATATATATAGGTCTAATATGATCACCTCCCATCATTTTGAGTCCCATATATGAGCTTAATATAAATCTAATGTCTAATATGTATAGAATAAATATATCCTGAATTCTGTGATATCCTGAAATCAGCATGATCTATGTACGTAACAAAATACACATGAATATGAAAGAAAACTCTTAGCTTCACAGCAGCAAAAAAAAACTTGTATAGAGTGGCTTCCGTCAAATATTTTTATGGGAGGTGTGTTTTAAAACATTATTGGATATATCACGACAAGAAAAGGGATCTTAGTGCCTTTCCTATGGACACAGGTGCTCAGACTGGTCTGGCCTGGCTTGGGTGGGTATTGAACCTGCAAAATCTGGATTGTGAGTCCGATGCTCTGTTAACTTCCACCCTGTGAGACAGAAATACTTGGATGTGAACTCTGTGCTGAAACTTTA